CTCATTCATTTTATCTAACTCAAAACCCAACTCTATTTTCAACATAAACCCAAATTTATTCTATTCATCCCTCCTTTTCTTTTTATTCTAAACCCAATTCACTTCATCTATCCTTATCATTAAACCCAAAGAAACTGAGTTATATGTTCTAACAATAATTGGAAGATGTCCCAAATATTTTTAGTACTATAACTTTAATTTCATTCTACCTAACTCTAACCCGTTTATATTATCTAAATCTATTTCTAACTATAAACTATCCTATTCCCTCATCTTTAATTTAACCCATTTAACTTATTCCCAATTTGAACCCATAAACCCGATTCCCTAACCCCAACCTAAAATACTCATTTCTAACTATTCAACTCCCTTTCTATCTTAATCTTTAAACCCAATTCATTTCATTAAACCCAATCTATTCACCTATTCCCAATTCAAACCCTGATTCATTTCCCCTTATTCTATACTCGAATCTAATCATACTCCTAATTAAAAACCTATTTTTCTTTACTTAACCCTATTTAACACTAAATTCGAAACTCCTATTAACCATCTGCCTCAGATTATTCAAAATCCTTTTTACTCTAACACTAAGTTCCACTAACATTCTATTATTAATCCTCTAATAGATTTATTTATCCTGACATTCGTTCATATATAGCAATAACGACAGAACTTTAGAAGTTCTACACAAGGAATTCTAGATGACCTCTTAAAGTTCCTTGGTCACTAAAGACGATCCTTTCTTGAATCGTTCTTTTAAAGAACAGGAGCTTACTTATTTTAAATTTTGCTACACTCTATCAAATGACTAAAAGCTCTGAATTGATTATCAAAAAAAATTAGCTGCTAAAGAGCCAACTCAAAAGAAAAAAAAAAAAGAATTCTAATCGAATACTCTAAGGAGGCAGAAAAAGAAGAAAGCCCGATACTTATTTTAAAGATATTGGCTACTCTCTATCTTATTCTAACAGTGCCAAAGTTTCAATTCAGCCTAAATCCTAAATTCGACTATTTGATGTTCTATTTGCCACCAAGTCCCAAGAGACCCTAACTTCTAACACTATCTCATCTAAGTTCTAATCAAGACCTAAATAATTTCAAATTCTCATCTTGGACTTTAGTAAAGAAAAAAAAAAGAGCCAAATTAATATAAAAAAAAAATAATAATAATAATTAGAAAAAAAAAGGATATAGCATTCTCTGAGTCTCCTATATTAGTTAAAAATAAAACAAAAAGATTCATCGACATGGCTACTTTAAAGTTTTGAACCATTAAAACTCTAAAGATCCGCCCTAGTTGGAAGGGCTCAACTAACTAAGTAGAAAAAGCTGAGTGAAAGCAAGACCTGGAAAGAAGCAGATTCACGAATTCTTTTCACTCTAACAATATCTAAAGTTTCAATTGTGGCTAATATCTCAAATATTCGGATATTCAATATCTTATTCGCTACCAAGTCCCAAAGAACCCTATTCATTGCCAATTTCGAAGCTGTCTCTTCTCAGCTTTAGTAGAGACCTGAATTTCTAGATAACTAAAGTCTCAAGAAAAGGAATTTTATATTAGTCAAATATCTCTACAAAGCAAATCTTAAAAAAAAATAATAATAATACAAAAATAAACTAGAAATCAAATCATAAATATATATGTCCTGATACTCGCTCAAATCCAAAAACTCTAATCAAAACATATTCGGAAGACCCTACTAGAAATTTCAAATCGCTTCAAGATTCTAAAAACAACAGCTACAACGACAACGATTCCTAAAATAAATCGATAACTAAGAACAACACCAGTTCTAACTAAAAAAAAAAAAAATTGAAAAAGTAAAAAGGATACATTAAACTGAAAGAAATAAGAAACACCAGAATTACTTAATTGAAATACCGAAATCACATAGGTGATTTTAAAAAAAAAAAAAATGTCAAGACAAACAAATAATAGAAGTCTCTAAGAAAAGCGAATAACGCCCGGAATTTAAAACACTTGGACTTTAATAAAAAATTTGAA